TTTTAAACATACATTAAAAATATTTGAGTAAATAAGTAATAGCCATAAATGATTAATAAACTAATATTCATGAGTTTTTGAATAAATGCTGTTTAATCCTTAATGTATTCTATAAACTTTAAAATACTAGTGTTGTATAGACTGCTTAAATAGTAATAAATAGTAAATGCATGCATCATTATGGGGTAATTCTGTAATTGCTTTCGAGTAAAGTATAAAATTTAATAAAGTTTAATATGCATAGCATGCATTGTATATTGAATGATAAGTATTTATTAATTGATCAACAGTAATACCTTTATTTAATTTATTTAAAATTAGTCACAAACTTAGTTGTGTACAATGCATGCTACTTATATTAAGCTTTATTAAGTTTTATACTTTACACGAAAGCAATGAAAATATTTAATTCATATCCTATATATAAACCTGATTTAGTATAAATATATCAGATATAATAACTTATTAATCTTTTTGAAATACGACACCAGATATTCTGATAGACTAGTAATTATACATTTAGAAGGAATTTCTCGATACGGAAAGTTGGCCATGCTAGTTTAAATTGTATGAGCATAAACTTAAGAATGTCATTAATAAATATGCATGGTCAAAAAGTGCGAATCCGACCGATAAGTTGGTCATATTATGGTCAGTAAGTTGGCTGACATGGTCATTTTTGATTAACACTTTATATGTCTACATTATAGGTAAACATTTACCGGAAAAGTTTGCCACACATTGAGTGCGCACTATACGGTTGAGAGCCGTCCAAACTTTTAGTACATACCGTCTATTCAAATAACGTTAATTCATACAAAAATGACCATGTCAGCCAACTAACTGACCTTAATATGACCAACTTATCGGCCGGATTCGCACTTTTTGGCCATGCATATTTATTAATGACATTCTTAAGTTTATGCTCATACAAATTAATTTAGCATGGCCAACTTTCCGTATCGAGAAATTCCTTCTGAATTGGAAACCTCGTTAGGTGTCAGTAAATTGTGCCAGGATAATCTGTAATAACATAAACTATATGATCATATCTACCATTTGAGTTGATCAAACTTGGCCAATATCATCAACCAGTCCCGTAAATCGAATTATAGTCACTTGTGGCATACACATTTTGCATATTAAATGACATTATAAATATGGATTACTATTCAAACATACGGTAATTTTTTATATGAATTCATAGACATATATTTTCGGTAAACTTACCCTCACATTTTGCATTAAAATGTGACTGTTAATTGACATCAAAGTATTTGTGAAGTGCCGTTTATATTTATAATGTCATTTATTATGCAAAATGTGTATGTCACAAGTGACTGTAATTTTATTTGCGGGACTGGTTGATGATATTGGCCAAGTTTGATCAACTCAAATAGTAGATATGATCATATAGTTTATGTTATTACAGATTATCCTGGCACAATTTACTGACACCTAACGAGGTTTCCAATTAAGATTTCCCAAATGATGGCCACACCTTACATTTTGGCAAAATTCGTGAACTTTGACCCATCACAACTTTTGTGTTTCTTAACCGATTGGACCGATTGAGGGCATAACAGTCGGTCATAACAGTGCACACTCTGTATAACTTCTTGTGGTACTTAACCCACGCGTTGATATCAGTCGTGCAACTGATCCACAGACACCTGTACCTCAAGTTGAAGACAAAGCGTGTCTTAAGCCTTGATTTGCGTGAATTAGCCAATGGTTTGCAGAAAATACCGAAACATATCGCCGTTTGTGTGAATGAACACCACTTCAGTGGACTGCCATCAGTTGATCCATTGATCCGATGGTCACGCGTTTAACGTGAAGTACGTGTCTCTCTTCAGCCATTATGGTGTGTATTATCTCATGAGTGGCAAGAAGTCCACGTTTTTGTTTAGTTTTGTCGCTATTTATGATGTAATAGTCTGTCATATGTTGTGATCACGTCTTGTGTCTTATTATCTACTCTTCAATACATTCGTGTCTTTGAGTCAATTGGAGGACCAGTTCGTGAGGTGTGCGACGAATGGACACAAAGCCACGGATGTGACGGCGCGCACAACAATGGCTTCGCTAAGACTCGAGTCAATGGTTAGTATATCACTAAACACTTGATTATCACTGCATTCGTGACGTGTTTTTGTGGCGACAGGGAAGACATCCGGAGGTGTGATGACAATGAATGGTCTGTCCGTATGTGTCGTGTCTTATAAGCACTCTATAAGACAGAGTATAGTGAAAGCGGCCCAACATTTGAGTCGACAAAAGGCACCCATCGATCAAAACCAGATCACTATTTAAGAAGTGAGTGACCCATGAGTGCCGTGTCTTAAGACATTTGTATTGATTTGATTGATCCGAATCGCGCGCAGAAACGTATGACTTCCCGGACCCGGATAGCATCTCAAAGATTGTATTTTATCATTGATTACGGCCATAGAAAAATATTTTGGATTTATTACTTGTAGCAGTACTTGTCTATGGCCGTAATCAATGATAAAATACAATCTTTGAGATGCTCTAGAACAGTTATTTGGTGAGATATTTGAAAAATTGAAACGAAGACCTTGTTTATTCTTTAAGATCTATGAAGCGTACTAATTAAATTTACGCTGAGACTTGTAATAATGTTACAATAAAATCGCCATTTCCTCCCGGTGCTGCAAGTTAGCAAAAATCTGTAAAATTATGGATTGATAGAGAATTGAATTATCTACATTTTCCATATCATAACTTTGAACTGAGACTTGTAATAATGTTACAATAAAATCGCCATTTCCTCCCGGTGCTGCAAGTTAGCAAAAATCTGTAAAATTATGGATTGATAGAGAATTGAATTATCTGCATTTTCCATATCATAACTTTGATATATTCCAATCCCTCTTGCTTCTAAAATTATTTAAAATTCAGTTTTAATGGTATACCCGTCCTCCCTGGCCAAAAACTATTCATTATAGAGAAATTTCATTAGGGGCATGTATCCGTATTTTTTAACGCTCTTTCGAATGGTGTACTTAAATTCCCTCTAGGACTTATAGTTTTTGCTCTAGGCCAGTTACCAGTATTAGCAAAAATCTGTAAAATTATGGATTGATAGAGAATTGAATTATCTGCATTTTCCATATCATAACTTTGATATATTCCAATCCCCCTTGCTTCTAAAATTATTTAAAACTCAGTTTTAATGGTATGCCCGCCCTCCTTGGCTAAAAACTATTTATTATAAAGAAAATTCATTAGGGGCATGTATCCGTATTTTTTAACGCTCTTTCGAATGGTGTACTTAAATTCCCTCTAGGACTTATAGTTTTTGCTCTAGGCCAGGTACCAGTCCCCATACCAGCCCTTTACAGTAACATATCTGTGTCTTCGGGAAAAGGAAGACCTTTAAAAAACGAAAAAAGTATATTTTGAAATTATTTTTATTTGATCTAGTTTACAAATTAATTCCAGTCCGAGTACTTTGTGGACAAATTTACAGTAACATATCTGTGTCTTCGGGAAAAGGAAGACCTTTAAAAAACGAAAAAAGTTTATTTTGAAATTATTTTTATTTGATCTAGTTTACAAATTAATTCCAGTCCGAGTACTTTGTGGACAACTCTTTATAATAACAGAGATGTTATTGAATTCAATTATAAAATTTGAAGCAATTTTCATGTAATTCGTTTAATTGAAAGTCAAAACAATTTTATATCTATAATCTATGGCATTTTACTTATTAATTAAACTGATTTTAAATCACAATTATATAATAATATATGAAATGTTTATTTAAAAAACAT